ACTATTTGGTCACATTGCACAAATTGGTGCGTAGTTGTAACTGTGATTTACTTGTGAGTCATTCAGGAACGATGAACATCTGATGGTTTGGTGGAAGGCCATTGTCTCGCAGGTACTACTGTTGGTTAACTTGGAACGACCTGATAGTCGTTGTCTCTACATTAGATTGTATCACAAGAAGTGATGAAGATATAGGTAATAGTTTGTTGCCAGCCATTGCGGCATTGTGATCACTGTTGGTATTCAAATTATAACCAAGTGTATGTGCCAAGACACAACCAAATCACTTAAGATTTCATTGTGTCTTGGCACACTATACGTAATGATTTTTTCGGGAAAACTTGGCAGGAAGAGTGACGAAAAGAGTTATTACTTCGCAATTATTATTATACAAAGTATATTTTGTCTGTACTGTTGTCGTAACTCCTGAGCATGTATGCGTAAGTACATATATGGACATAAATGAAATGTTTTATTACGTGTATTAATAATGCCGCAAATGTCAACCGTGATTAAAAAAAATTCAACGCAACTTTTGCATTTTAATCCAGACGATTAAAACTCGGATATTGAGGGATGGTGGAATGTTGTAAAAAATATTGCAGAAAATAAACGCTTAGGCAGATGGAAAGGATGGCAGGATAAATGATTAGATTTGTTAATGACATTAACAATCGCTCAAAATAACAATCAATCTCCAGCGTAAACATTGCACTTAGTAGACATCGAGTTGAACCGGCACTAATTTTTTGAGCTATCCTGTGGAATATGGTCATAAATGAACTTCTATACAATTGATTATGCAGATGACCTGACAATACTGCTCCCGAGAAAAACAGCAAGCATGTTGTGCAACCTGACTCAAGCGGCTCTCCGTATAGTGGAGAGTTGATGCAAGGAATACGACTTAACCGTTACTCAAATAAAACGATTCTAGTAATTATCACACAAAAACGAATGCTGAATAACTATCACCTGCCAAGTATTTTCAGCACAAAACTCTAGTTATCCTTTAAGGTAAAATACTTAGGTCTAACCTATTAACAGTAAACTAAACTGGAATAAGCACAACAATGTAACTCGGCAATGGATCAAGAGACACAGTGGATTGAGGGGCAACGAAGCAGCAAACGAACTGACCAGGAGAGGATCGACTGTGATAGTTATAGGGCCGGAACCGATCATTCCAATTTCTTTTCGTAACGGTCGTTCACTGGTACGTAATAACTTTACTAATCAACCCACTTAGCTTTGAAAAAATCTTGTGAACTTTAAGCAAGCTAGGAAGGTCCTGCCAGAAATATACAGTAGTTTAATCAGTAGTTTAACAGTAGTGAGATTGAACAAGCGACAGATCAGGATAGCAGCAAGTGTTATTACAGGACATGGCTCCTTTAACAAACATTTACTACCAGCTGGTAACCAGCGCGTTGCTGCCGCGGAAAGGAGTAATTGTCGAAATGTCGTTTTAAGTTTGGAGAAGTTGTGTTTGATTGGGAGTGATAACGTTTTCATTGAGTTTGAGTGATGCTTTCAAAAAGATTTGTTGGTAAGATACGTGCTTATACGTGGAGTTGCAGAAAACAACTTGTCGTAAACTAACTAAAATTGCTTTGATAAGTCGTGCAGCTAATTGTCTTGTCGGGCTTAAGGTTACTAAAATGGCATATCCCATAATAATGAAACCAGAGCTAACAACAGCGTCTGAAACTGGCCTTCGCATATGACCCCTTATTGAGTAAATTCTTATAACAATCACGCCTGATGATGCTATTATTGGATTTCTTATCTCAGTTTTATGTTCATGCAAAATATGATTTACATTGAGTACATTTTAAAGTTCGATATGTTTAGAGATATGCTGGGGATTTTAACTTTAACATGCTATGAATTGAGAGAATTAGTCGCCTTTTTGTATTTTAATGTATTGATGAGTGTAACAGATTTGCCCTGAATATTGTGTGGTCGACAGAATTGTTGTTTGATGTTAAGGGTTGGATTTGTGTGAAGCTGGCTGAAAGCATAATGTTGTACCGGGCCATGACGGGCGTGACTGGTTTAAAGGACACATTCGTCCGCCCCAGGCTTATGGATTGTGAAGTTACACTGGTCGAAGGGATGCACCCGTTCTATCCAGTCAGGTTGGTTGAACAAAGTACAGATAACAATATCGTCCGGGCCAGATCTAAGCGATTGGTCGTAGGGACATATTCGTTTACAGCTGTATGTGGTAGTTTGAGAGATAGGTGCCGTCGGTTCCATGCGTGCTCGAATTGATGCACGCTTTCGATTATTTTAAACGATGTTAGTATATTTACAAGAGGGTATATGTGGTTAAAGTGTATATCTTCTATCGATGCTAATAGTGCCGTGCAAGCAGTAGAAATACCTGTGTGTCTGTGTGTGCTTAGTGGAAAGAGTCGTCGTTCGGTCCATGTTATCATATGAGATGACGGTTGGTCAAAAGGACGCCTTAGCTAGTGTTAGTTTGCATGTGGTCAAACGTAATCATCTTGCGTATGTGTGAGTGAATGTCTAAATACAGGGACAAGCCGACTAAAGTTTTTTGTTCTCGAAGCACTTCAAAGAAAATGGTGGCCACGTTCAATGCAAAAACCAGCCGTGTTGCGACGATTGCACTTAATGATCGTAGAACGGTTAATGCAAAGTGGTCATCACACACACAAGTCATCGCCGAACTTCGGAAATCGAACCCAAAGTGACGCACCATCCTACACCATGAAAACGCAAGCTCATACAGCGCTGGTCAAACTATTGAGTATTTGAAGCAGCAAAACGTAGATATTCTTGACCATCCTACAAGCAGTCCTGACCTAAGCCCTAACGATTTCTTTACATTTCCTAAAATTAAGAAAAATCTGCGTGGTAAAAAGTTCCAGTCCGGTAAAAAAGCAGTCGACGCATTTAAAACAGCCATATTGAACACCCCCACTTTGGAGTGGAATAAATGTTTTAATAACTGGTTCCAGCGAATGGAAAAGTGAACTACATCGAAAAACAATAAAAAGTATTATAAGGTTCTTGTTGTATTTTTTGGCAAAACGACAAAACAAGGCATGCCTCAGATTAATCGCTCTACCGATCTGCATATTGTATGAGGGCGAGCGGTCTGTATTGGTAAACATATCTGAAACAACACAACCGTTATTATAAGGTTAATTTTAAGGTAACTAGCAATAATGTGATTGAAGTTACTTATATGTCATGGATTGATGGCGCAATAGTGCAACAAGCAGCGTCATCTTACAATTAGCTTTGCGAATCAATAATATTGTTACCGGAAACGCAAGCGCACCTTACGGCTTGGACATGATCGTCGGTAGAGGGGATGCAGCGATGGCTGGAGAAGGGACCGAGTGTAGTGACAGTCGAGTTCGGAGCGGACGTTCGCTACCGACGCACTTGTTTGTTTCTCGTGTACAACCACTAGTCTGAATAAAGTTATTTTGATTTTAATCATCTTTCGTTCGAGTGCCCACATTTACGTAAAACCATGTTGGAGCGTGAAGAAAACCCGACGCTTCGCATCTCGGCCACCCATTATGTGACATCAGAAGTGGGATACATTCGAGTTGAAGAAAATACGGAGAGTGGAACGGTGTCGTCACGGTGCGACGAAACCTACTTCGGACACCACTGGCTGCTCAAAACCAGAATATGATGTCCTTGATAGAAGCCGTCAAGGGCCCGGCAGGCACCAAGCATATTTCACTGCCTGAATTTGACCCGGATAAGCCGGATGTAGATGCAAGTACCTCGTGTACTACAGTGGATCTGTGCCTATCGGAGTTACCGCTTCAGGAAAGCGCTCTAATCATTAACCTAAGCAAGGCTCTGAAAGGAAGTCCTTCATGTTGGCTGGCGCAAGTGTCGTTTGCGGGGATGACATGGTGTGACTGCAAAAGCCTGTTTTTATCCCGCTACGATTACGAGGACACACCAGTCGCTACTCTTGTCAAAATGATGAGCGGCAAGCCTAAGGAAGGTGAATGTTATGCCGCGTACGCCGCCTGATTGCTTTCAACATTCACAACACGCTGGCAAAACATGAGCACTGAGCAGAGGACCATATCTATCGTGCTTGCTCATATGGCACAATTTGATGGGTGTATTCAGAGGCTGGCGTTTACTACTGAAGTCATCAACAGAAACAAGCTGCAGTGTGAACTTCAAGCACTCTCGTTTTTGAAAAGGAAAGCTTCAACGGCTAAGTCAACCGACGCCGTTACAGAGTTCAAGCGGTCCAAGTTTTAGTCGACAACGCTAAAGTGTCACAACTGTGGTTAACTAGGTCATTGAGCATCTGACTCTCTATCAAGAAATGAGGTGAAAGGCAAAACAGTCAATGTTACTACTTCAGCGTCAAGTTCTTTCGTTCAAGCGTTCGGACATCATCTGCTTTCGATGCGGCAACGCCGGACATTTTGCAGCAAAATGTCCACGAAGCAATAGTGGGAGCTCTAGCACGGCGGGTAGATCAAACAGTTTCGAGGCAGCACCTGCCGCAGCAGTGACCAGAGAGCGACGTGCTGACGTTTTTTATGTCAGTAATCCCAGCGGTGTGCTGATGAATGCTGGTGAGTCATACTCATTTTATTATGATTCTGGTGCCGAATGCTCTCTGATCAAATATTGGTTTGCGTCAAATTTTAGTGGCAATCGAGTAAATAATATTGTAAATTTAACCGAAATCGGTCACGTTAGTGTGCAAAGTACGCTACAAATTTTATCCGAAGTTATGATTAACGATTTACGATTAGAGATATTATTTCATGTTGTACCGGATAAGTGTCTTAATCGGCCGCGAGATTTTAAGTCAGGGGTTCAACGTTAGTATGACATCTGATAGCGTTGTTTTGTGTCGTGATAAGGTTGTGTGATTACGTGATGCTTCAAATAAGCTCAAGACGGATTCTATTGATCAAATTGATTCAGATAACGTTGACATAGACGTTCCGCCAGAATTTCTTTTCCAATTAATGGATCTTTTGTCAGAATATTCATCTTCGTTTTCTAGTGGTGTAACTAAATCCCATGGTACTATAGGACACTTGCAAATTAGGCTTGTAGATCCTAGTCGACCGGTTGACCGTCGACCTTATAGCCTTAGTGCAAGTAAATGCGAAGTTGTTACTACTAAAGTTCGTGAGCTAGAGGAAGCAGGAATTATTAGGTCGATTTGTTCACCCTCTTCTAGTCCAGTGTTTCTTGTCAAGAAGAAGGATGTTTCAGATCGCATGTGTATTGACTACAGCGGACTGAACGACAACACTGTATTGGATAGGTTTCCATTGCCGTTTATAGAGGACCTTGTATCCAGGTTAGGTGATGTTACATGGTTCACGTGTCTCAATATGTTATCACCAGATTCCAGTGCATCCTGAATCGATAGAACGCACTGCATTCATCACACTTGACGGTTAGTGGGAATATGTGACCATGCAGTTCGGTTTGAAAAATGCCAGCTCAGTTTATCAACGTGCAGTAATGAAGGCATTAGGCGATCTTGCTAAGAGCTATGCTGTGACATATGTCCACGACATTTTAGTGATAGGATCATCTGTGGAGGAGAATTTATTTTGTCTTCGCACTGTGCTAGATAAATTAACAAAAGCTGGTTTCCCCCTAAATTTTGCTAACTGTTCTTTTCTTAAGCAACCGGTAGAGTATATAGGCTTTTTTGTTAAGAACGGCCAAATCAAAACCTAAATAAAATTGCGGCTTTGTCCAGACTTCCCCCGCCTAAAACCATCACTGAGCTAAGACAGTTCATAGGCTGGCCACTTATGTATTTCAGAAAATTTGTGCCACAGTTCTCGAAAACGATGGCTCCTTTGTTTAGCCTAACGAGTAGTAAGAACAGGTCCATTAATTGGGAACCTAACCATGCGGCTGTTCCTTAGAATACTATTTCTTATCTAATTAGTAAGCCTGTTCTAACGATATTTGACCCTTCACATCCAATAGAGTTACATACCGATGCCAGTGCTGAAGGAAATGGTGCCATTTTTATTCAAAAGATTAATAGAATGTAGCTTATTATAGTCGTCGTACCTCCCCAGTTGAATAAAAGTTTCATTCATCTGAGTTAGAAACGTTAGTTGTCTTCAACGCCATAAAGCATTTTCGACATTATTTGCTAGATTGTAAGTTTACCGTTGTGACAGACTGCAGTTCTGTTAAAGCTTGTAAAGGCAAAACTGACTTGTCTACCCAAGTTCATCGTTGGTGGGCCTACATGCAGTCATTTGAGTTTGACATCGTCCAGGGTAAGCCATGTAGACTTCCTGTCTAGAAATCCCCTCCCTACACCTAAAGTGGCTTTCACTCGTGTGGAACAAAAGCGTATCGATTTAACTGAGTTTTCTAGTAACTGCTTGCAAACTCAACAAGGAAAGGACGGAGAGATTAGTAAGATCGTTACTGATCTTCGTAACGAAGTTCTTCCTGAGCAAACTCGCAAAACTTACGAAATTCATAAAAACATTCTATATCGCCAAATTTAGCTTAACGGTCGAACTTGATGACTGCTTATTGTACCTAGATCGCTTAGGTGGTATGTGATTAATAACGTCCATGAGTCTGTCATGCACTTAGGATGGGAGAAAACTCTCGAAAAGACTTACGACCACTACTGGCTCGAAGGCATGTCAAAATATGTGAGGAAATTTGTGGACAATTGCATCACTTGTAAAGTAGCGAAGCCCCACTCGGGTAAAGTTCAAGCAGTACTGCACTCAATTCCCAAGTTCGATATCCCGTGGTAAACAATCGATATTGACGTTTCAGGTAAATTGTCTGCGAAAAACTACATCAAGGAGTACGTGTTTGTCATATTTGATGCGTTTACCAAATTTGTGCTATTTTGTCATTTGCTAAACATCGACACTAACAGTAGTATTCATGCTATTAACTTCTGTATAGCTCTACTTGGCGCACCGAAACTCATAATAGCAGATCAAGGTAGTTGTTTCGCTAGCAAAGATTTTTCTAGTTTCTATACCTATAATAACATAGAGTTGCACTTGATAGCTGTTGGAGGCAGTCATGCAAATGGTCAGGCCGAGATGGTAATGAGTACACTCAAAAGTACGTTAACAGTGGTAGACACTAGTCGGGACCACTCTTAGTAGGACGCATTAGGAGAGGTGCAGCTGGCTATGAACTCTACTGTTAATAGGGTGACTAAACCTAGCCCTCTAGACTTGGTATTAGGAAGGGTAGCACGACCGCTTAGTTTAGTGATTGCCAATGATGATGATGTGACTGAAATTAACATATATGAGATCAGAGAGCACGCGACACAGGTTATTGAAAAAAATGCCAATTATGGTAAAAATCGATTTGACCGAAATAAGGCTCAGGTTTCTAAATTAGCTATTAATGATTATGTTTTGATTGTAAATGAGGAGAGGATTCAAACGAAATTAGATCCCAAGTTCAAAGGTCCTTTTAAGATTATCGATGTGTTAGATGGGGATAGATATCTACAAAAGGCACTTGACTCTAAGCGAACCTACTAATACCCCCACGATCGTGTGAGGAAGGTCCCCGATCACCAAATACCTCGAGAATTAGACGTCATAGTTGATGTCAGCGGTAGTGAGACCATATCTAATTAAGAATGGCTTTTATACTCAAGCGTGAAGAAAATCCGATACTTCGCATCTCTCCCACCCATGATGCGACATACATATGAAAGGTATTTTTTTTATTTGACGTAGGAAATCCCTTAATTCAACAAGAAACTGAATATTTGGGCATTTTTGTAGGACATTGATTCAGTCACGCAACTATATTTAGTTTAGTGAGCAGTGCGGCTGCAACTAGTTTTATTGTACTCATAGGACTGCGTGGACTTATACGAGTATCGAACGGAACCGCGGTGGTCCGTGTTGTTCTATAGTTACTTTTGCTTTTTTTAACTTAATGTCATTCTGTACTCTGTATTAGTATTTTTTTTTCTTTATTTACTGAAGTCGTTACTGGGTTAGTTTTTTTTTTTTATTTAAGAGAGAAGTTGTCGTCAAAAGCCTCAATTTCTTTTATAATGTAAAGGCGTTTTACATATGTTTGAACAAAAATCAATATCTGGAGCGACTTTTAAGGGCCATAACAATATCCACTGTTTTCATGGAATTACTGTTGACGTGAGTCATAAGAAGAATATATCTAAACTAGCTAGTAAACTTGGGTTTGCAGCATATGCTGTTGCAGCATGTGTTGAAATTGCTAGATAAAGGATCATGCCCACTTTCCATACATTGATTGACCTGTCACTTGATTCGTTTTACAGGTCACGACTACCTACAACTAGTGTTGTATAATAACAATTATTATTTATAATAACATAATAACTTATCATCTTTTTATTTAGAGGCCAGGGAAAAATGCTATTAAGTAAAAAAGTTTTTGGGGTAATGACAACTGTCAGACCTTATCTGACAGCTGTCATAACCTCAAAAACTACACGATAATAAAATAAAATTGTTTCTTAACTGCCGGGAGTTTTAAACAACTCAGAAGTAAATCTCTCTTCAATGAAATATCATCATCAAAGCGTATAGTTCATTAAATTATCGGTCAAAATCTGTCGTCCATACGGACTAAACTCCAGGAGTCGGCTTAACAGCTGACGCTTTTATCCATCGAACTCTTAGTCTGATAAACAGATAAGAACGAGTAAATAATACCTCATACCAGCATAATACTGCCCCACTGCTGTGCAAAGGCTTCTTATCATATAGCAGAAGGACAGGGAAATTAAATAATAAAAACAGGATTTGATTTATTACTATTTATTCAATGTCTTCTGTACAACCACTTCATCTAAAAATGGCGCTGGAGGCACAATGTTGATTTCATGCCTGGCCCAACCTAAGTACCACACTAACGTCATAACATGCGCACAACAACCTACAGTGCGACGTCCTACAATGCAGTTGCAGCAATACTCTATAATACCTTCTCGTCCATTGAGTATGAACATGGCGAGATGAACCAGCAGATGGATCACACTAATTTTTTCCATGAATCTGAGCATTAATAGTCAGCATGGATACATCAAAGAACGCTTCACAAATGTAACCTTCTTCCGTTATCTGAAAAACAAACCAATTTTGAGATTTTAAATCATAAATAGAAATAAGTATATTTAATTTATATTTTTACATGTTTTTATTTAGACAGCTATCTAAAAGAACACTTTACCTAAAAATGGGGAAAATCACTAACGCATTCATTTATTTCGTTAGGTACTTCACAATACTTACTATTACTGGATATATCCAAGTGCTAATTAGCGAGATGAGTTTGTAATCAAGCTGAAAGGCCCGATAACGCTGAAGCGTATTAACACATATGTTGCAGTCTTTACACAGCAATCTCGTAGGCGGCTCCATAACTCTTTCCAACAAGAGCAATAACGTCTTAGATCCTAATCAAAAAGTACTAAACCGGTATCCGTATAACACAAGCCAAAGTAATCGTAAGTGAAATGTATCGAAGTCTGTGCTAAATGCAAAAGTTGTAAGGTTATCAGAAAAATTGCACAGTACAATACGTATTACGTAGCGAGAGCAATCGAACGGATGCAAAACGTCAAACAAATGAATGCCTGTCATTCATTTTTCATTCTTTATTTTTATATTTTTGAAATGGCTTCTGGGCCTTTGCGCCATTGTTAAATACGTTCCGTCTCCAAAAGTCTATTGAGAATGATAAACATAGTAACATTACTTTTTTTCCTGGCTTTATATGAAAATTCAATTATGCGATACTAAATAAGCAAAAAAAAAATGCAATTTTATAAGATATATTGCATCACTAGACGCGTAAGAACATTTTGAGGTCAAAACTGGACATGCTTCTTTATTTTAATAACGTCTACAGCATACTATAATATAGAATTTTGCTCTATGGTATTACAACTGACTTTAAACCATCTTTGTTTGTTTTGTTTGGCAACAGATCCTTAAGAGCAATTTCAAGCCTAGGTCCAATGAAATTTTTTGAGAAAAATTTTAAGAATTTCATAGGTTTTAGTTATGAAATCGCCGATCTGCAGCAATGGCCATTTCAAATCAAAAGAATTTGGCTAAGATATCTTATTTCAAATTAAGTTTATTTTAAAAACATGGAATTGGTTTTTCAAAGTTAGTCATTTGTTTATTAATTAGCGTTATGTTTTATTCACATTTGAATATTTTTCGTCATCATAGATACCTTAAAAATACGAGTAGTTATAGAATATGAGTACCGTCTTGGCAACGTGGCACAAGTGGCACGCCACACCAACGATGTTTAAGGAGCGACTATACAACTGTTGTTGGTATGCCCGCCTCCGTATTAAAAAAATTCAACCTGAAAAATGAACCCCGTGGTC